TCACAGCAAGAAGGTCGCTGGGTTGCTGGCCCTCGGCTCAGTTGGCGTTTCTGTGTGGAATTTGCATGTTCCCCCTGCGTTCGCGTGGGTTTCCTTCGGGTACTCCGGTTTCCCCCACAGTCCAAAGACATGCGGTACAGGTGAATTGGGTAGGCTAAATTGTCCGAAGTGTATGAGTGTGTGTGTGTGTGTGTGTGTATGTGTGGATGTTTCCCAGAGATGGGTTGCAGCTGGAAGGGCATCTGCTGCGTAAAACATGTGCTGGATAAGTTGGCGGTTTATTCCGCTGTGGCAACCCCAGATTAATAAAGGGACTAAGCCGACAAGAAAATGAATGAATGAATATTGTTTTATTTTATTAATATATCATTACACAATATCTCAAATGTAGTTTTTGTTTATTTATTCATTCTTTTACTCCCTGTATTAAAAGTATCTAAATTCATTAGATTGTCATTTAGTTTTATCTTCACAGCAGGGTTATAATATCAATTGTTATATAATTAGGTCTCATTATTGGTAGCTTTTATTTGTAGTACACTGTAGCCATTTGTTATTTTTGTTGACATAAGGAAATAAATGATCAGATGAGGAAAAATCGAGCAGTCAGACAAAACAGCACTGAAGACACACACTATGATGTGAAACAGACTTCTGTACATCAATGGCATCATTGGTGAAGCCTTTGGTTGAAACGGATAATACAGAATTTCTCAGACAGACGGCAGCTGGTAGGACTGCCCTGTCACCCATGTGTTATGACTGCATATGTACAGAGGAGGAGGGTGTGATTCAAAGGCCTAAACATGAGCGGCTGTACATCAACCCTGTAAAACTGACTGTATTATCCACAGCTTTCTATTTAAAAATAATGCAAACCAATTCAGCTGAGATATCCTCAGAATATATAGCATCTCTGGATGTACTGTATAGGGGAAAAATTCATCAAATCCTTTAAAATAGATCTGGGCTACCAGATTATTGAAAACCCCAATCCACTTTTGAACTCCATCCCCCCCATTCCATCCCAGCAGATGCAATATTAGTTTGCTGGTGTTTTTACAGCGCATGTGGGGAAAAAAACCACAGCCTACGATCAATGCAGACTCATTCTGTCAGAGAAAACCAGCAATCAGCCGGAGATCCAAAACATATTGATTAGGAATGAGATGCCACAGCGAACAGGAAGAGAGAAAAGGGGATGAATAAGACATGATTTCACTGGATGCTGTGACATTGATTGATGGATTCATCTCTTGGCTTTATTGCTTTCTGCGGTTGAACGTCTTATTGGTTATTTAACACATTACTAGTCATTGCATTTTTGTCTGTACAGTTAAAAGGACGGTGACAGTGTAGGTGACCTAGGGTGATTTATAAAATGCAAGTCAATGGCTACCGACATATCTTGAGAGGCAAAAATATATAATAATCAAATTATCATACATTTGTGTGACATATTTAATTATGAAGTATCAGTCCAGATGATAAGCGCCTTTAAAAAAACCTACTCTTTTTAAATTATAATAATAATGATAATTCCTTACATTTATATAATGCTTTCTGAACACTCAAAGCGTTTTACTTTTTGGGGAGAATCTCCTTATACACCACCAGTGTGCAGCATCCACCTGGATGACACAATGGCAGCCACATTGCGCCAGACCACACACCTGCTGATTGGTGGAGAGGAGACCACGACGGACCGAGGATAGTGGGTGAATTTGGCCAGGATGCTGGGGTTTGACTCCTGCTTTCAATTGTGGTCTCTCATCCAGGTAATGATCGGGCACAGCCCTGCTCAACTTCAGTGGATGACCATGGGAGTTGCAGAGAATTAGCTGCTGGTCAAAATTAATTTTTGTTTATAATGTCATTGTTTCTTTCATATACAGTATAAAGTATTTTTTTTTATATTTATTTTTTGGGTAAAATACTTCCATCGTGGATAAGTCAGTGATCAGAAACATCATTAATTGTAAACATTTAGAGTATTAATTGTATGTAATAGCTAGGCCCACACGGAATCTGCGCGTACAGAATGCCGCAGATTTTCCTCAGAATTCCGCAGATTTTTAGCCCATTATTAATTCTATTTATTTACTTGAGTAAATGTGTAAATATGAATTTCTTCAGTTTTTATTCAGTAATTTATTACTTTTTATTTAATATATTAAGGTTTTAGCTATGATACTCCGCTGGATACTCCCAAAATAATTCTGCAGAAATCCGCAGATTTTTACCAAAATTCTCCACAGAAATAACAAAAAACCTCCGCAGATTCCATCTGGCCCTGGTAATAGCATCAATTGTATGTATTAATAATACATTTTAGTTCAGTATGTCTCATATTTTGTCTGATTTTACGTGTGACTCTGTCTGCATTTGTCAGTGACCATATCTCTGCCTCCCCATCTGGAATAGCAGGGAGAGGAAAGAAAATAGGATTGCGATTATGGACACAATCAGTGTTTGGGACAGACAGACAACAGCAGTTGTGGCTTTTAATTAAGCTTAAGCTTGATGAAAGAGAAAGAGGGGTGACGTATAAAAAAACTGCTCCTTGGGGATTTGCATATTAAATGTTATTAAATTTGAAATTGAAATTCAAATGAAGCTGAACCACTTGCCCATATGAGTTCAGATTAAGTGGACATACTGTTAGTGGAGTAACACTGAACACACACTTCAATATTTACAGTATCAGTCTTATAGTGTTAAATCCTATTTAATGTTTTTTGAGATTCCTCATATTTCCAAATGACCTGGGAAGACATAATAAACAAAGAATCCATAGCTTAAGAATTTCAGATGCATTATGAAATACCACATGTAAGGATATAATACAAAAAGATTTCAAGAAGACCACAACTTTGAAAATCTGTATTTAATCAAAGAAACATGATGGAACTTTGGGAAATTAACCAATGTGAAGAATACTTTTTTTTAATCAACCCGAAATAATTTTCTTTTAATCAACCTGTATAACATGAATATAATTTCTTTAAGATTCTCATATTTGACTCATATTAGAATGCAGTCAGAAACACTTGTTTTCAAAGAGCACTAGTCCTTCTAGTGGTTATTCACTAGAATTGCAGACTTAAACAAACCCTAACGCCATAAATCTAAAATATTTGTTATTGGAAAACTTGGAGAAAAAAAAAATATATTATTTATTATATATTTATATGCATAAATCTTTATTTTAATCCACCTAGTTGCCATTTTATTTAATTATCTTAGTTTACCATAAACCCCAAATACCTAAGGCTAAAATGAGGCATCAAAATGACTAAGACTCAAAATGAGACAAAAGCTACAATAACAACTTAAACCAAAATAATATAAACTTCAGTTACTAAATCCTAAAATAAGACTGGTCTTCTGTTAAATAAACAATGTTTAATAATGTTTGTACGATTGAGCAGAAACAAAATAAATTGGATCAAATTGGAGAAAATAATAACCTTAATTTTTTTTAATGCATAGGTCTGTCAGTGCCAGTTCAGCTTTTACATGGCTATTTTACAGAGGTTGCTGGAAAGGACTGACATCTATTTGACAGGTAACAGAATTTGACCTTGAATATTATGCACAATTGTTCAAGACAATAAGAAAAGCATGATCCAAAATTTACCTTAATTGTATTTACAGCACATTTCAGTATGAGGTCAAAATAACCCAGCTTCCATATTTAGCCTACATTAACATATAAGCATACACATATGTATTTACATTAACATATGAACAGTTGAAGTCAGAATTATTAACCCCGTTTATTTTTTTTTCTCCAATATCTGAGTAAAAAAAGAGACGATTTTTTTTTCAACACATTTCTAAACATAATAGTTTAAATAACAAATTTTTAATAACTGATTTATTTTATCTTTACCATGATGACAGTAAACAATATACGACTAGATATTTTTAAGACACTTCTATACAACTTAAAGTGACATTTAAAGGCTCAACTAGGTTAATTAGGCAATTGTATAACAGTTGCTTATTTTGAAGACTATTGAAAAAATATATAGCTTAAACTGCTAATAATTTTGACCTTAAAATGTTTTTTAGAAAATTAAGAACTGCTTTTATTCTAGCCGAAATAAAACAAATAAGACTTTCTCCAAAAGAAAAATAGTGTCAAGACATACCGTGAAAATTTCCTTGCTCTGTTAAACATAATTTTGGAAATATTTAAAAAATAAAAAAAAATTCAAAGGGGTTTATTAATTCTGATTTCCTCTGTATTCACATTTCCATTGTAGAATCAGAAATTTGTAATAACCTGTATGTGCTTTAAATGAAATCAATTCTATGTTATATATCGTTTTGTTTTATTATTATTTGTTTTACATTGATAATTTCATTTATGGCCATAAAATCAATTATAAATCTTAGTTATTCATTTATTTGATTCATATTTTTTATTCATTTATGTTTTCGTTATTCATTATATTAATCCTTTATTGATTTGATTTCTTTATTTTAGATATTTATTATTACCTGTTCTTATTGTTTAGTCTTAAAGTGATGGTTTCATGAAATGTTTCTCTCCACTGATATGAGGGCCTGTATCAAATTTAAGGTCTGTATAACAACATTGCTAAATTTGTGCTGTTCAGATGAAGTATAACAGCGCACTGAAACACATGCAACTAAGATTATTCAATAAACACTGCTCATTTCTTATCATCACTTCGTCTCCTGCTTCTGCTCTTCTCTGGCTTCTGTACACAGTCAACTCCTATATTTACAGTACACTGTTTGAATACTGGTTAACAGGTTTGAATATTGGAAACTCTGCTGACTTGTTGTCTAGATACCTGAAGAAGATTCAGGCAACATCATGGCGTCTGGGGCTGGATCTTATTTATCTGCCGTGGAAAGTGTGATCTCATCTAACACCACGAAAAAACTGGAAAAACTGTGCAAACTGTGATTTGTTGGGATGTCACTATGTTTTAAACCATTATCAGACTGAGGAGTAAATGTTGTTCTGATATTTACGGTTTAACAGTTTATTGTTGTTGTGGGTCCAACACAGAGATCCATGTAGTTATTATTAATTTGTGTCATCATCATCATCATAAGTCATGATATTCTGTTAGCGGTCAATGAGAGCTGCTCTTCGCTTCTCCTCCTCCTCAAGCAGCGCGTAACGGCGCCCGGTGGAGTGTAAACAACAGCAGCGAGGACGATAATCACAACGATGATCAACAAACTCAATCCTACAGTCAGACCTGTGGAGAAATTCACTCTTTTAATGCTTTAGGTAACTTTAAACAACTATAGAAATGAGTAAATTGAATATATTTAAGTTACTAAGACGTCAGCAGTCACGAGAAAGACAAATGACAAAGGATGTACTAACGTTACTATATGTCATAAAGCGTCACTGCAAAAGTTAAAAGGTTTCTTAAACAATTAAAACACATTTCATTACCCATGTGCTGTTGTCCTATGACATTTGCAAGTTGGTCCATGATATTTTAGGTGATTTCCTCCCACACTTTGATGGATTCAGGAACTCTCTTGTCCTGAAGAAGACTCGCGTCCCTTCCTGTTGTTCGTCACGTGACCACTAAAGTTAGCACTTTTTGAAAAACGGTCAAATAGGGCAAGATAATAAAACTAGACGAAAACATGCACAACTCTATTTATTTCATTAAGTTTGCTACCAATGCTTCAATATTATAATTACTTCTGTTGTAAACCCAATCTGCAGAAGTGGCCGATAGATGGCAGCACTGGGCGAATTATGAATGAGCGAATGGGTTTGATGTCCTGTTACTCATAAGACATTTTATTGCCTTTGACTCATATTTTATTGGCTTACACCCTTTATGTTGGGTATTTATAGGTCCAAACTGGGTTATTTAATCAACTTCAGCCTCCCTCACTTCTGACTAATTTAAACAAATAAATGAACTTTTTTTTAAACTTATTATTAATTATGATGTTTGAGTCTTTAAAAGAGACAGATATACACACTGGATTGAAAAAACCGTAGCCAGCCTGGTGAAAGCAGTGGTTATTTTATTTTTATATTTTAAAGTGAACCATTTTGCAGCTTTATGCCTTATTTTCTATTTAATTATGAGATTTAAATACTGCACTTTAGTCACATCTTAAGCAATATTTTTAGCTGGATTAGCTTGTCAGATAGTCATCAAACCACGCTTTTCAATATACCAAAAATATTTCCTAAAAGTTTATAATGAAAAAGTTCTTGATAATAAAACAATACTTATTTACATGATATAGAAACAAATGAATCTGTTGAGGTTTTAAATTGCAGTCTGCCATTTATTAGGCAAATAACAAACTGGCCAGCACATTCAACTTTCCTCAGTCAGAATTTAGCTATTTGATTAAAAAAATAATTAAAATAATAATAATAATAATAATAATAATAATGTGGAGCTTTTACAATTTAGCCTCTCTTGTAAAATAAAAAAAGTACATTTGAAAATTCATATATAACAACAATATCGTTAGTCAAAATATCATTTTCAATATGGTCCAAGTTTGGTGCTTCACACCTTATTGCTCATTTTTATTTAAAAAATAAGGTCCAAGATGGAATAACTTACCTGTATTTATTTTTTAAAACAATACAGTGATGAAAGATGACTTTTCTTATGGCAGATTGTAAAATATTTGTTAGCATTGCATTGGCCAAAACTGATGAGCTGAAGTCCCACCGAAGCAACAGCCAGCAGAGGATTCCGAGGTTCGCTTTTTGCAATGGGTTATTTTCACTCTTTATGATGGCATAGCAGTCAAAATAAGACAAATGATCTCATGTATGGTACAAATTCTGCACCTTTGTCAGTCCCCCCGTGGCTACAGGGCTATCGCCAATGTAAAATAATTGAGTTGCTAATGAAGTAGGCGGAGTTCACGGTTGACAGAAAGAGCGCGAAAAAGAAAGGTCATTGATTGAGACGAGGTAAGATGAATGTAACGAAATATTAGATTTTATGACAAACATTTCACGATAGAAATGTAAACGACCAACAACATCACTTAATATAAACTATTCAATCTTCAAATGTCGTCGTTTATTGTTGTAAAAATGGTATCATTTGAGTTCTTCAAGTTATTCGTCACGAGACATATTGCTTAAAGTACAACTACAATTGTTTTAAAACTAAAATCAGAAAGAATTTACTTCTTGTTATACTAACTTACTTAATATTTTCTAAAATACATTGACACGTGACATGTTTGATAAGGTATCTTTTGATACTGGTCTTGCTGATTTTATTGCTGGTCTTGTTGGTTTTAGTGCTGTTTTTGCTGGTCTTAATGCTGTTTTTGCTGGTATCAGTGCTCAGTGTTGGTCTCAATGCTGAAACCAGCAAGATCAGCATTGAAACCAACAAGACCAGCATCAAAACACACCTTACCAGAATATGCTGTTTTTTTCAGCAGGGATGTTATGGCCTTGTTAGCATATTTAATTTACACAAATTATTAGGCTAGTCAGTAACAAATATAAGATTCCCCCAAAAAACATTAGTGATTATTACTGTAGTCTGTTACAGTTAACGGTTTCAGTTTTAGTTGGTTAATAACCCTGACATCTTCCACTAGATGGCGCCACTTCCCCGATTATGACAGCGCGCAACAGTTGAGAAATGCTTAGCTCTGAATGGCAAGTTAACTAAACAACTTTGTATTTCCCAAATTACACAAGATTATATCGCAATCTGTTTATGTTTCAGGTTAGTCACTGCTATTTGAAGTCATCTGAGATATCATCATTTCCCACTTCACTTATTTATTTGTACCCTTTGTCTTTACCCCCAACACCTCAGACTAACAAAGGTAGGTGAAAAGTTCTGAGCCTTATGAAAACAATTATACTAACAGTATTGAGAATCGAAGGGAGCAGGAGGGGATGGAGGGCTGTGTGTGTGTTTATTTGTTGAGATAAGGAGGCATTCTATGCGCACAAAATGAGTTCATTAGGCAGTGGGCTGCAATGAAGAAACCCAGTTGCTTTTGATAAAGGGATTGCAACTGGGGAGGAATGAAAGGTTTCATTTCCTGTCTTCCCAAGGCAACATATCATTCAGATCAGCAAAGTGCGACGAAGGTTGGGTGACAGACAGGAGAACAGAGGAATAGGAGGGAGGAGAGAAATACCAGGATTACAAACAGGTAGTAAAGAAAACAAATGTGAAAATGGGTTAACATGATCAAAATGCTTTAAAGAAGACACAAGACAACATTAATGAATAACTAAAACCTTGTGAATAGCTTTAAATTTAAAACAGTTACCATACAGTAATTTTCCTTCCGACCATATCTGATTTTGCTAATTAAGTCTACATGTTGCTCTGTTTCTTGTTTGCTGTTTATTCGTCACACCTTTATAGCCTGTTTGGAACATGGTATAACTGCCTGTGATGTTTATAAGGTATGATGTGATCTCTCCATTAGGTTTTCCAAGGAAACTTCAGCTTTCATTGAATGCCAACTTCACTACAACGCAAACCGAAACACGAATTAAGCTTGTTTAGAATGCAACTATTAAACCAAGATTTTGAGCCTGTGATGTAACGCGTGTGCAGCACCAGTTTAAGCGTGAGTTTTTTATACACACTTCATTATATGTGACAGGACGCTCCCACTTTCAGACTATTATGATGCATTTAGGACAGTTTGCTAAGGCTGTTAATTAAAGGTAATAATGATGATAATAAAACTCAAATTCAGATTATGACAAGCATTTTAGCTGTCCACACCAGACATGACATGACAGAAACATTTAATTTGTAGCAACATTCAGAAGTACAGAATAGTGCTCTACTTAGGACTAGCGCCAGACGGAATCTGCAGACTTTTTTGCTATTTCTGCGCAGAATTTTGTTAAAAATCTGCAGATTTATGCGGAATAATTTTGGTAGTATCATAACTAAAACCTTAATTTATGAACTAAAATTTCATACCTTTTGAACTTGATTTAATGTTTACAATGCAAATCCAATTAGATCCACTTTATTTGGTAAACAAAGCCAAGTCTGTCATATAATATATCTACTAAAAGACAGAAAATATTACTTTGCAAACTGTATTGTGAATAAATCATATGAATCATATGAATAAATTATAAGAGCATTTTCATAAATGGGTCAACAATATTACTCAAGTTAATTTTAAAATTGAATAAATATAAATTTACACACATTTACACAATTAAATAAACAGCATCAATGTTGGGCTAAAAATCTGCGAAAATCTGCGGAATTCTGCGCGCACAGATTCCATGTGGGCCTACTTATGACTACACAACATAGACAGGCTGCCGGTTTCAGTATGTCTATAAATGTCAAGTAATATGGTAATCAATTCTGGTAACATTCAACTGTAAATAAAGTAAATAATCAGCACCTGAGGTGATAATAATCATATTAGTTTTTGCTGTTGTTCAGTAGGACTGTACGTTTAATTGAAATCGTATCGAAAGCGTTTTTTTTCCTAAATCGCCTTACAGCATGATTTTCTCACAGTATGCTATTTGAACTGATCATAACTCAGCACTCCTCCACGTTGCTTCCTTTAGCATTGAACGCACTTTGCGCTCATGCTACTTTGTCGTTGCTTGCTTGCTGACCATCAACTGTTTTCTCAGAGGATGACAAACTAACAAAACTTTGCTGCAGTTCTGATACAAATTTTTATTTATCAACTGGGTAAACCTTGAATACATGTGTGCGTCACGCCCAATATGGGCACAAGCTGAGCACCTCCATTGGAAATTACGAACTTCCATGCACAAAAGACGTAAAATGTAAATGGCCTATTTCAAGGCAGCGTCACAAAGAGGTCTATGATCTATGCATGGCAGAACGTAATACGCAACTACTTCTGTCATGTGGTCAAACAGAACATTGGAACGGTTGACGGTGCGCACACACACTGTAGTCTATTTGTTTTGCCATAGGTCTGTTCTAGAGACAACTTATTACACCTTTACTTGGTGATTTTTATTTTATTGCCTTATGTCTGTTTTAGAGACATGTTACAGGTCTTTGTTAAGGATCTAATTGGTTCCCTTTGTTTCAGATTCATACTGTAAAATGTCTGTGTGTGTCAAAATCGTGATTACACTTGAAATCGCAATATTGTTCAAGAAAATCGTGATAGGTTTCTTTTGCCCATATTGCAAAGCTCTATTGTTCAGCCGCAATGTTGCAACAAATGTTGCACATCATTGTAGCAGATGGTTAGGACAAAAACTCCTTTTAACACAGAAAAGATAGCCTTAATACATGTATTAGGACACAATGTAAAACGTTAATCGTATAATACTGTATTACATTAAAAACTGCCCAATTTACTGTAAATGCAGTTATGAAAAATACATTAATGATCAAAAACGAGATGTTCAAAAGTTCTGCTGTTGCTGTGTTGCACTATAGCTGCATCCGAAATCGCATACTTCCTTAGTACCTTTAAATCACTATACAAGCAGAGTAGTATGTCCAAATTCACAGTATTTGAAAAACAGCAACGGCAAGGCAGTGGCGCAGTAGGTAGTGCGGTCGCCTCACAGCAAGAAGGTCGCTGGGTTGCTGGTTCGAACCTCGGCTCAGTTGGCGTTTCTGTGTGGGG